TATAGCTAATAAAGGACAATGAATCTGTTACCTGTATGAGACAAACAAAGATGACATATTTCAGAGGCGTGCTGTTCTGTTTACTCATGTTCCGAGTTCCGAGACATTCTGTGACATATGACCTAACCTATCTTCCTCTATGTAAATAAATAACAAAACAACTGTTGTTTATGTGGTTTGTGGAGGTGGTACAGAACTATAATTTATATTTTGCCTTTATTGTTGATTCATAAAGATAATTTTCCTTTTTTAAAGTAGAACATCTGAGTACGCATAAATTATTTCAACTTGATATAGGCGCTGTTGCCAATATGTGAATTAGAAACAAATTCCTTTGAAAATTAAAACCCAACATTTGAAACATCAATTTGAATACTTTTCGAAGTGAATTTCAAAAACTCATGAATTAAACTCAACTTTATTTTGTTCAAATTTGCATTTACTGTAATAACCCAAATTGAGGAAAATTCCTCATTCTGTGAGTTGTCCCGATCGAGTAGAGTTCCATAGTTGGGCAATTGAATTTTTAGGTTATTGTGATTGCTCAAGGTCAAATAAGTTAGTAAACTCGGCCGCGAAAGTCTAAACCAATTTATACATTTTTTTTTCTACATAATATTTGAAAGAACAGTAGGTCTCAATTGATTTTTGATTTTCTGGTGATCTGTTATATATTTTTGATGAGAGAAATTTTGTAGATGGTTAACTTAATAATTATTTTGAACAAATGTCATTAAAAGTGACATTTTTAATGGTTGTCAAGAGTATTAAAAGATGATGTTTATAAAGTAGCGTGTTGAATATATTTTCAACACTAGTGTTTTATTATGAACAATAGATATAGATACAATTAAATTCTGTCACAAATGACTTGTATACAGTAATTACATTATTATATATGAACATTAATATGAAAAGTACAATTAGAACAACAGGTGATATTAATACCTAGCGATGTTTAAGAACCTTTTAATATATTTGAACTAGCTGAGTTGACAATTTCATGGGCATAAGTGCAGAGGACGATGACGTAACGCTGGAGCTAGCTGTTGCGATTATTATTTCAGCAATAGCCATTTTATAAGGAAATAGATTGATCGATGTAACCCTCAGCTACTGTTGTAGACTTCCATCCTCCGTGCCTCTCAATATCCGTTATATTTGCTCCTGATTCTGCTAGCAAAGAAGCAGAAAACCTTCTGAAACAGTGACCTGTATATTCCTTTGGTTCCGGGAGGTTAAGAAAGTCAGCAATGTCAGAGGTCATTTTCCCAAAAGTGTTTATACCAACTGGGTTGGCACTGCATTTATAATTTGAGTATTTCAGAAAAAAACGTTGATGATTGATAACAGAAGGGCGTAATGCAACGTATTTATTAAAATAGTCAATGTTTTTTCCACAATTCAGCGCACTCGACTTTATCATTGAAAACTTGCTCCACAAAGTTGACGAGTTCAATATTTTTGATTTCTCTTTTAGAAAGGGTAAGAAGACGGTTTCGCTGAAATTTCTTTTCAGATTTTCAAGTCTTCACCAGGTGAGAAAATTAGAATATGCGATGTC